AAAAGGACAATAAGCAAATAGTGAACATGGGCTTTGTGGTCGTTAATGAGAACAAATAAGGGAAAGCTATTCAAATTATTATTCCATAAATAATTTCAAACAAAACTAGTTCAACAAAAAATATTTATCGAAAAAGGCCCAAATGTCATATTAATACAAGCAATTTTCATTTAATATCAGTTTTTAAAGCATACAATGAGTTAAAGCGAGTTTCAAAGAATCGAAGACCTTAATTCGATTTAAAAATTACTATTAAACGTTAGTTTGTTGGATTGGCTCGAAGGATTAAACCGAAAACGCCATGGACATCCATTGAGGCTTATTTAATCTTGAATTCAAAAGTTTGGATTTTCGAAATCGGAATTTATTTCGAGCGGGTGTTGTTGGAATATATTGGGTACATCTTAAGGGGTGTGAATTTCAATTTTTGGACGATTTGGCGGAGATTTTAGGTCGTTTGAATTGAAATTTGAGCAAAATTCGAAGTACACAGATGAACAAGGAAGATGATATGTGTATCTCACTATGTATCTGTTGTGTTATCTCTTGTGTATCTCATGTATATCCATGCATACATGTATGTGAGATACATGTTTGATGAGAAATTTTTAAACTCGATATCAAGTATGAATTTTGACACAAAACTAGTCCGAAACACCTCTAATCTTCCTCAAATTTTGTATATTGACTCATATATATATATATATATATATATATATATATATCTAGTTTCATCTTTGCTACCCCATTCATGAAATTTCCTTTTCGTCTTGCATCTAATATTGCTGATCACACTTTAAAATATGAAAAGAGATCTTTGGAGAGAAAGAATCCTTATTTATCTAGGTTTTTAATTTTTGTATGCGCTTAGCTAGTTTTAGTAAATAAGTAATTAATGAGGGGATATTGATAAGTTTAAACTTATTATGTATATTTTCATAAGACACCCAACAAATAAAGAGGAGCATAATACTCTCCGCACTTGATTGGATAATCAAAGTTTAAGCAACTAATTTTTGGATTTCTTTAGAATCTAACAAAGCAAGGCGAAAAAATAAAGGCAAAGGAAAGACTAATTAAGACATCACGTGAGAGTGGTGGCAAGAATAGTTTTGTGGGCTGCATGTATGCTGTCATGTCCATACATTTCTTTGCCTAATAATGTAACTTCATTTCACGCACCTGTGACGTATTATGCGACAGCTTAAGAACTTTGTGTGTATTTGTGTTTCTTTTTAATTAAAAATAAATATCAATGTCTTTTTCTTGGAAGTCAATCTTCTCTTTTAAACTTTTTCCAACTCAGAGTTTTATGTGTGCATATTATCTCTTAATTAAATTTAGTTGAATAGAGCGACGGAACCAGAAATTATACACAAGAGAAGATATTCAGAAAATTCTATAATGTCACACTTAAAACTTGAACTCGTGACTAAAGTAATTTTAAAACCTCATTTGCTACTGCTCTAAAAGATTTCCTCGTTTCAACGTTTATTTACAATAAATAAATCATTTTTGTCTTGTTAATTTGGCCACCCTGATTGAGCAATAACAAGACCTTTAATAGCTCTTCCCCTCATGGATAAATTTTCTCTGAAATTCATCAGATATTACACTTCTTTATCATTTTGTATTTATTTGGAAAAAATTAAATTATCGCTTAAATCTTGAAATCTCTCTATATATTTCAGATTTTATAAATTTTTATAAATGAAGAATTCACCCCCATGGTATGACGTAATTAAATCAATTGCAATAATAAATTCTCTTAATCTTTTTTTTTTTTTTTTTTTTTTTTTTACATTTTGAAAATATTTTCAGGTCATCGGTGATAGAGAAAACTTGATTTTAGTTAATTATGCTGGGATGGCCCCCTCTTTTATTCTTAACTTTGACAAGTCTCTATCACTACAACGCAACTCTAACAATGAGAGGTGGAGATCAGAAGGCGACGAAATCTTACTTATGTCACAATAACTCATGATATGGTGGATAACAATTGTTTACTTTCAACAGTGAACTTTTGTCTTCTCTTTAAATACGAACAAAATAGAAATTAATGTTACTCTAGCTGATCATTTTAGAGTAATTTGATATGTACAATTATTTACATTATCAATATTTAAAAAGTATACCTTTTTTTAATTTATATAATAGAGTTCTTCTTTATTGGAAGTGTTAATAATTGGTCTCATTTAATTGGAGCACAAAAAAAATTGTTGCATCAGCATAAACTAGGGTAAATACTTATTGGCACCCAATTTTTTATATTACAGTTAATCATTATAATAAA